CTGCTGGTAATCAGATCTATGGAAGGAATATTTACTCTATGAGACGTAGAATTTTTATTTGCCAGGAATGCCTATATCATTTACATTTATCGAATATTTTAATACTATTTAAGGTAGAGCGGTTCGTTTATGAAGTACAGAAGTGAAAATATAAGCCTATCCCTATAACATTAATTCATTTTGGGTTGCAAGGGCAGTAGCTTCAGATTTTTTAATGGCTGAAGTCTTCCACCAATCAAGCAAGATCCAAGTAACTGTTTTCCACTTTTAAACTCCTGACATTAGCTTTCGGAAGTCACCATTATCCTTCTAAACAGAGAGATGGAACACTGACAGGATTATGTGGCAAGTTGTTCCATAAACAAAAAAGAACTTCTAAAATATTGAACATGATTATTTTTAATAACTTCATATCACCTGATTTTTCTAAAAGTTTTTTACTATGGAGTATTTCTTTTTCCTTTCTGGATTTCAGTCTTTTATTCCATTTAATGTTTTGTGATACGGAAAAAAACGTATGACGAAAATAATAATAATCCTTCTGGGTTTATGTTATATCACTAACAATCAAGCAAGCTTGGCAGAGAATGTACAATTAAATGTCGCGTCTTTTACTACCTTTCAACATTCGCCAAGAGGCGAGGAACGTGACTCTGAGCATGATCTTTCTCGTTGAAACGTCTCTGACTCTGAAAACCGACAGGCCTTCCAAAGTCCATCCGTTCAAAGCTTTTGTTACTTGTTCCTTGCCGTCGGCTTGGAAATCATCAGCGTTGGTGAAAGTGTAACAATGAATGAAAAACTTCGGTTTTCTTTTCATGTAGTCATCGGAAACATCAGAGAGCAGGCCAACGAAAAGCGGCAGAAACGTTACTGCGGCAGCCGGCAAGTTCATGATGAAGTGGATGGCCGTTGGATGTGGATGGTCCTCGCCTTCACACAACATCTTCTTCAAGTAGACTGGTACTTGTTTAGTAAGGAATTCGTCGGCTTCGCTTTCATGCACCTCTACATGCACTTTGTTGATTTCGCAGTTGTGTCGCAACCACTTGACGCAGTCCGGATTCAGGTCATTGGCGATCACAGTACAGCCACGCTTCCGGGCCGGAATGGCAAAAGGTCCAACCCCAGCAAATACATCGAAGACAGCATCATCTCGGTCAAATAAGTGTACCAGCCGATCATGTTCCGTTCCCAACCGACTATTCCAAAAAACTCGTGAAAAATCGAGGTCGTAGGCAACCCCGTTTTCCTTTACGCGTGTAAGGTACTTTTTTTCTCCGGCAAGCACCTCGAACTGCAAATTTCTGAATGGTGACTTTACGCAGTCAGTCTTATTAACGACCGTCAAGCATTGTTTTATTTTGTCTATCAGAACTTGACCTAAATTTGAAATTCTGTACTCTTTCGAAAATACAAGTTGTCGTTAACAGGTAGAAAACTTTTAATTTCTGAGTGAGAAGTTTGTCATTAAAGCGCCTTTTGAGTACGCAGTCAGAGTCGTTGTAGACCTAAGAGCATCTGATCAGTCTCAGCCAAAATTCGATTAATAATAAAAATTGACAAACCTATCAGAAACCTGAAAGGTAGGAGTTCAGCCTTCAAATTCACATGCGCAATGTGGCCTACGATTGTATGGGCACTCAACGACAAACCATCTGGAAGGACCGCTTTGAGAACGTCATCGATCTGCCAGTTTTCATATCCGAGTTTTAATTCTTCATGACGAATCTCGAATGGAACGGCGTCGCCGAGTTTAGCACTTAGTTCTGATATTTTCACTTTCTCTTCGACAAATGCAGTGGGATCAACGAAAACCTTCTAAATGTGAAATGCTAATTAGCTTAAACAATCAGCAATTAATTATATTGTAAAGCAGCCAATTAAAACGCGTCTGCACAGAAAAAACAAGAGGAAGATTGTGTTAAAATGAGAGGATAATTCAATAATTCTTCAAAAATCTTTTTCTGACAATAAGTAAGTTAATGATACATGATAATGACAAAGTACCCGCTTTTCATGGACTGAAGCAAGTCACTGCGTGCTTCTATCCGACTTGTTTTCGTCAGCGGCCGCGCTACCGGCCACTACTTCCTGGTATTGTGCCCTTAGCTTTCGCCACCGACTAAATAACCGTCAGTAAGTGTGCAAGCATGTAGGAAGGCATTTCCCTCGAGGAAGATCCAGCTGGTAACTCGAGATGTCTACATGTCCTTCAGACGAGTCACATGGCCAGCCCTTCGAGTTGTAGATGGCAGTGAGTACGTTCAGAAGTTGTCTGACAAAAAACGTACGTTTGGAATATGATCTCCAAGGGAGACCCCTTTTACTTTTCTTTCCATCGCCCTTCGCATTACTACTAGTTTCTTTTCCTAAGCATTGGTGGTAAATTAGCATCATGGCGAGTGAACGGCGGAGTCGAACAGTTCTTCTTTGTGAGCACTGGCCGTTCATTATTTAGTAGGGATGCAAACATAGAGATGCCGCGTTCCTTCTGCTGATCTCACTGTTGTTGTCATTGGAATCTATCGGGTGGCCGAAGTATACGTAGCTAGCAACTTTTTCCACTTCTTCTCCGCCATCGAAAAAGACAGCTGTGGAAGTGATCGTTGCGCATCCATTTCTTTCTGCAGGTGTTTCAGCTCCAGACTGATGGCACGTGACTCTTTCCACCTGGCCCAACCTTTGTTTGGAGTTCCATCAGATCTTTGGCGAAGACGATGTCAGCAAACAGCAGAAGTTTTTTTTTCGATGTTAATGCTGCCGCTCCAGTTTCAGCGCCGCCGCGAAAAGCTGAGGAGTAACCATGCCTCCTTGGCATGTTAATTAACCGATGCCGGTTAATGCGTAAGTATTCAGTTACTCAGTTTATCAGGTGAAAGTAAGCAGTGCTGATGCCGCAGTCGTGCAAGACGTTCAGTATTGCGCTCATTTCTATTGAATCAAACGCTTTTCTGAAGTCAGTCAATGCATAGCGGATTGGAAATTAATATTCTGTAAATTTCTCTGTTAACCATCTGGGCGTGGGCTTTGGTGGCGAATCCTGTTCGGATACCGGCTAATTCTACACTAGCGAGCATTTCAAAATCCTTCTGGACGGGATTGACGATGATTTCGGTAAAGATCTTGTAGACTTGCGACAGGAGAGTAATGGATTGGTAGTCCTGGAGGTTGTTCCCATCACCTTGTTTGAATTATCGTCAAAAAGTTCCTCTCTCAGATCCTATCGAACCTGATGTGTAAATTCAGCAGTAGCTTTGAACAAGGTCATTTGTGCTCATATGAGATGTTCTAGTTTTGTGGTCTCTGTCAGAATACCCTCAACTCTTAGTATTCTTGAGAGCTCACTCTACTTCGTCTCAGATGATATCGAGAATGGTTGCCGAAGCAGCATGCAGCAGCTTCCAGTTTACGTCTACCTTCGAGGTGTAGGAGTTGTAGAACATCGTGCGGATCGCTTCCATGCGACGGATTTGTGATTCTTGTTACTCCGTCATTTATTGCTACCGGAA